TTTAGTTTTTCTTGTAGCCCCAACATTTTTCTTTTGAACAGCGAAAACCGCAACTTTTTAGCTGCTTCCTAGAAAAAGTTATTGAGAAAATGACCATCCTTTTTCTATTTTGAAATGGATAGTAGTAGATGAAGATAGTGGAACCTTATAATTTTGTTTTAAAGTAGAATAATCAACGAATTTTTAAGAATAATTGAAAAAATTTTGAAAATCACATGAAAACGCATAGGCTCTTTTGTATCATTGTTCTCGTTCTGCTCGTATTATTTATCTCACTCTTGCTGAATTGACCAATAATATAGTTATTTCTTTTGTAGTCAAAGTTTAAAATGACTGAAAAATAAAGATCAAAATACCCTAAAAACAATAAATATAAAGTTGAAAATAGTTGCATTTGTTAGTAATTATTGAATGAAATACATTGTCTATTATCTGTTAGACCTATCAAGAAAAATGTTAAAAAGCTGCTGTCACCAGAAAGGTTGTATCTAAAAAGTCAGTTGGATTGTTCGCAATAAAAAAGAACTTTTGAAAAACCCGGTGAATAACTTTGTGTTTCATCACAGAGTTTTGTGAACTGAAGTAACATGAACACATGGTTAGCTTGCATATACGGAGTGAGCATTAATTTCGCTATTTTTAATCTAAAGTTTTGTACCGGTGCCCCTCTAAATACAAGGTCTTGATGGAGCCTCGAGAACTTTATTATACAAACATTTTGATAGGACCAGCAAATTTTTTCCTCATCTACCTTGTATTTAGAGGTACGGAACTTTAGATTAAAAATAGATAAATTAATGTTCACTTCTTATATGCTAGCTAACCATGTGTTCATGTTACTTCAGTTCACAAACTCTGCGCATCATAATAGGAATAGGAGAATTTTTGCCTTTCCAAATTTTTTTGCTGAAGCGTGAAAGTAATAGTTAGAAGGCTATTTTTATTGATTTTAAGAGATAATGAAATCCAGTGGAGAAGTCAAAAATAGGTCGAACGAAAGTTCATTTTTTTCTGCAAATAGTAACGAATGGTCCAGGTTGAACTGTTAGTCTTTTAAAAACTTTTTTTCTGAAGTTAAGCTTGATGAAAAAATTTCGTTTTGATACCAACAGATAAAGAATTTTGTCTAGATTTCATTTATACCTTGTTTTAAACTTACTTAGGCATCGTTCTTTTGCGACAGTATTAGTACTGAAAGCCACTAAAAAGCTTAGATGGGCAAATGCGTAATCAGAAACTTTTGAAAATTAGTTTTTGTCCAGTTCCAAAACTTAGTTTTAGGTATGAAAGAACAGAAATTCTCGTTGTATCTAGTAGTATGTTCTTTCCTATACTCTTATTGGTTTCTGTTTTGTAAAATGCAACACAGCAAAACGATAGATTCCGTAATTTATTTTGAAGTTTTTCTCAAAACCTTGATCTATAAAAATTATCGAATTAATATCAAAAGACAGAATTTCAGGCTCTCTTTAGAATGTGTTTCTCTCTGTGGTTTACCCCATTTTGGTAATGGATGGCAGAGTTGAGATATCTTCCTTTAGAGCGCATGATGTCAAATCCAAATAATGAGACAATTGTTGTAACCCAATTTTTACGGCCCTAAACGTTTGATTTCATGCCTAAAATATTAAGCTTTTATGGTAGTTTTTCGTACTGCGTTTGAGTAACGCGAACAAAACTTCTTTAGAAGATAATGAGCATTTTTTTTTCCAGTGAAGTGGCATCAACATGAAATTTTTCATCAAGCTTAACGTAAATGTTTTTTATTTTCAAGTCTTACTGTTTAGGAGTTTTCCAGAGATCAAGTTCCAAAAAGGACTCTGAAGTATTTTCCAAGATTTTTTAATATACTTTAAGCTAGAGAGTTCGGATTTGTTTTACTTTAAACTAGACACCTAACTACATGGGCTGACCGGCGCGATTTTTCAATTAAGCCTTTATTCGTTTAGTAGACAATCAAAAACCACAAAAACGCTTCCTAGTTTTCTAAAAGCCTCAACCTGACAAAAAACTAAGGTCTAATTGAAAAATCGGTGCTAGTTAGCCCATGTAGTTAGGTGCCTAGTTTAAAATAAAACAAGCCCGAACTCTCTAGCTTGAAGTATACTAAAAAAGCTTGGGAGATACTTCAAGTGTAACTCCGATGCAGAGAAAACATTGTATTAAACGCTGTATAAAATGCGCAATTTTAGGACTTGTAAGAAAATACTTGTAACTTTTTGACCCAAGGTCTAACAGAATCGGTCTTATTTTGATCAGAATAGTTTGGTCTACAAGTGGATTGTCGGAAGTTGTCGCCACTGCGCACTTAACGGATGAGCTCTGTATATTCAAAACTGCATCATGACAGAAAAATATCGTGAAAAGAACGAAAAATGACCATATTTAAAAGATTTGTCGTTTTTTTGGGGAAAAAACCTAGTCAAAAATATAGTATTTAGAAATTTGATTCATTCGCTAACAAGGCTCAAAACCCCATTCTGTACTTTCTCAGTACTGATTAGAGAATCTATAGATAGAGATTCTACAGATACGCTAATTCTGTAGTTACTGCACAACATATACACAGAAACAAAATTTCAACAAAAACATATATGATTTTTGCTAGATAAAATAGTTAATTAATTTAATTAAACAGTTTTATATGAAAATATCAATCCCTGATAAGAGTCGTCTGCGACCGTAGTACTATACAACCAATAGAGTGGTATGGCCATATGTTACAAGTTTTTATCACTTTTTAGAAAACTTAAAACAAACGATCAGTGTTCAAGATGGCAGAGGATTCAGAAATGTTAGAGTCATTGCGGTATCTTCGATTATTACCAGAAGAAAAAATCAAATATCAATCACAACCATTCGATGCTAAAAAGCAATGTTGGGTACCTGATGCAAAAGAATGTTTTGTAGAGGGTATAATTGAAAGTACAAATGGAGAAGAGGTAACAGTGCAAAAAGACAAAGGAGAGGTATGTACATGTATAGCGTTAATTCCATGTAACCCTAGTGATCGATTCTTACAAAAGAATCTGATAGGAATCTGATAAGGAACTTATAAGAATCCGCTATCACTCGTATAAGAATCTTATTAGATTCTTATTAAATTCTTACATAAGAAGTCCGCACGA